ATTTTAGGGATGAGGAAACCAAGGCCCAGAGAGAATAATTGACTTTGTCATACGGTTCATAAGTGACAGAAGCAGGATTTGAGCTTGTGTTTCTGACTCAAAAAAGTGCTCTTTCTACTGGAATACATTGCCTCTTACTACTAAAGTTGCTTAACCATTTTTTTGTTCAGTCATTTCAGTCATGTCCCTTTCTTTGTGACCCTATTTGGGGTTTTCTTGATAGAGATACTGTGGTAGTTTGCCATTTCCTTTACAAATAAGAAAACTTAGGCAAACAGGGTGAGTGACTTTCTCAGAGTCACATAACTGGTGTCTGAGGCCATGTTTCAACTCAGGAAGAAGAATCTTCCTGACTTTAGGCCTGACGCTCTACACACTGTGCCACCGAGCTGCCCTGTATGTTTCATCATTACCAAGCTACTTAATCTCTCTGAGCTCCTGCAGCTTCCTATGAAAATTAGCTATAGATGAATTATAATTAGTTTTGGTATAAGGAGTTCCCACACTGATGAAATCATCTATTAGTTTCAATCCAATTCTTTATGATTCAAAACTCAGCCCTCCACTGCCCCTCACTTAATATTCAAAACACTCAATAAGTTGGTTATAGAGTAATAGACCCTTCAACATCCTTGTAAATAAAGCTAAAAGGACCATTTAGGAGGCCTATTTATCATAATTGATCATAACAAGAGAGTGACAGTGATTGTGTCTCCTGAGATAGCTCTGGGATGTGTTACGGTCTCTAACCACTCATCTTCAGGATTGCTCTGGGAGGCTGACTTAAGGACATGCAACAACTAATAGTAGTCACAGGATTTAGAAGGGGAAGGGTGCTTAGAAGTATTCAGTCCAAACCCCTGATTCAATAGTTAAGGAAATTGAATTTCAGATAGATTAAATCAAAAAACTAGTAAGAGAAAAAGACCTTTGAATCCAGGGCACAGGATTCCAAAACCAATGATCTGTCTATTGGGCCACAAATGAATCCTATACAAACCAACTTTTAGTTCAATGGGCATTGAGAAAGAGGATGATTTATCCAGGTACAGCAACATTTTCTATAAGGTAGACAATTACAGGTGTACCAATGTGATCCTCAGGGTTCTTCTCTACATCACATCTTGGATAGAATGACATTTTTTCACCTTGGCAGAACAATCAAAAATATCCTTCAGTGTTTGTACATGCCTAGAGTTTGATCTACCTTTCATAAAATATTGATGGTTAAGTATTTTCATTATTCTATTTCTGTCCTCAAACACCAATGTTCTCAATTTTCATGTGTACTTTATTTTTATTTTAAAGGCTCTCCATTGCCTTCTGTTGTTATGGATAAACATGATAACCAATGACCTGTGAAAATTATTGCTAACATTCTACCTCCTCATCTCCTAACTTCTTTGGCTTTCTTCAAGACTCAGCAAAAGTCTCACTTTTTACAAGAAGCCTTTCCCAGTCTTCTTTGATCTTAATGCCTTCCTGAGATTACCTCTGTGCCCCAATTTACTAACTAAGGAAATGTCCTATTTGCACATAGTTGTTTGCATGTTTTCTCCCCATTAGACTGTAAGTTCCTTGAAAACACATTGCTATTTTGTTTCTTTCTTTATATCCCCAGTGCTCAACATTTTTTTTGTTGTTTCAGTCATGTCCAACTCTTCATGACCGTTGTGGGGTTTTCTTGGCAAAGATTCTGGAGTGGTTTGCCATTTCCTTCTCCAGCTCATTTTACAGATGAGGAAACTGAGGCAAACAAGGTTAAGTGACTTGAGGACAGATTTGAACTTGGGAAGATGAATCTCTGGCACTCTATCCACTGCTCCACCTAGCTGCCCTTAATACATAGTAAATGTTTAATTAATGCCAGTTGACTGACTGACTAAATTACCTTTTAAAAAATTCAAAGTATTTTTTTTTATTTCTGAATATTTTGGCTTCTTATTTTTTATCGGCTATTTTGACCCTTTGTCAAAATTAGTGCTATTTTTTGGTGACATCTTAATAAATGCTTGTTTACTGACAACTGACCAGTGAAGGTTAGGTCAGAACAGAAATGAAAAGAGTGTCTCCACGTTCTTTGTCAATCTTAAAGATCTGAACTAGATCACTGGGAAGTGTGGGGATCATATATTAAGTGTTAGGGCATAGTGATACTATGGGAGAGGGAGGAGCCATGAAATATTATTGAAACCATTTCAAGAAAAGTGCAATAAAAAACACACTGCATTTGGAGGTAGAAGACCTGGTTTCAAATTCTACTTCTTATGTTTACTTCCCTGTCTGACCTTGGGCAAGTCATTCATCTTCTCTGGTTCTTAGTTTCGTCATCTGTAAAGTGAAGGGAAAAGAATTAAAGTTTTCTTATGCCCCTCCCAGTTCTCAACTTATGACCCACTGGTGCATCATGAATCACTACTGGAGTGGGCAAAGAGAAATGGCATGTAATTAGTGGAAGAAAGGATGTAAGTATAAAGAGTTACTTATAGCCCAGAAGTACCACATTGTATATTCTACTGTCCACAAACAGTTGTGACCTGATAAGTGTCTATAGCTTGTGGAAGATGGTTATATTTGGAATCCCGGTGGTGTTCACCCTAAGATCATTCGATTTATAGTTGAATAGACCATAGAAATGATCTAAACTAACTCCCTCATTTCCTGCTCCTGTTTAAAAACTTTCAACCCTGTCAATGAACTGAAGTAACTTTCTGCAAGATTATCAATAATCTCTTGCTAAATGCTCATATTCCCTCTTCCTAGACACACTCTCTTTCTCTTTGATTTCCATGACTCTGACTTTTCTTAATTCTCCTACCTGTCTGCCTACCTGTTCTCAGTCTCCTTTGCTAGATTCTCCTCCTCCTTCTTCCCTTCTTTGTCCCTCTCCTGCACTTCCCCCTCCTCTCTCTCACTAAGTTCCACAACCCCCTAGACTGTCCTGGACCCTCTTTTTCCCCCTTTCAATACTGTTTCCTTTAGTGATCTTATTAGCTTCCATGATTGCACTTTTATCTCTATTCAGACAATAATTAGAGTTCCAGGCTTGGAGTCAGGAAGACCTGAGTTCAAATCCATCCTCAGATATTTATGACCTGTGTGAACCTGGGAAAGACACTTCACTCTGTCTGCCCCAGTTTCCTCATCTGTAAAATGAGCTGGAGAAGAAAATGGCAAACCACTCAAGTATCTTTGCCAAGAAAACCCCAAATGGGGTCATGAAGAGTCACACAAGACTGAAACAACTGCACAGTAACAACCACAACCCCCTCCGACATATTAATTACTTAATGTTTGTTGAATCTAATTTACAGCCATGAAAATGGAAATCTAGAGAGATGAAATAATTTACTCAAATTCACCCAGTAGCAAGTACCAATGTCAAGATTGGAACCCAGGTCCTCTTCCTCCAAAACCATCATTGTTTCTGCTATACAAAGTAAGGATGTCACTCCCTTTGCCTTCTTTCCACTATCCCACTCCTCCATATCCAGGGCTGGCTTTGAATCAATGTTCTCATTAAAAACTCTCAAGAGGTCACTATTGCCAGCTGTGATAGTGAATGAGCCAGTCCCATGTTAATACGATCCTTTCTGCAGCCTCCTGGCGCATGGCACACTGAATTTCCTGACATATGTTGATAGATTCTTAACATATGTTGATCAATTTCACAAACATATTTACTAGTTCTTTTCTATGCCACCATTTTATTGTGAGTATGAATAAAAGGTGTCTGATCCATGTGTATTAATCAGCAATGTTATAGCAGCCACCTATTAAGTCCTCAGAATGGCAGCTTAAAGTTGACGCTTTGTTCCTCACGCATTCATGTGAATCTTTAGGTAGACACTGGTTTGTCTAAATGCAGGTGTGAGAAACCTGTGGCCTTCAGGCCACATGAGGCCCTCTAGGTCCTCAAGTGTGGTCCTTTGACTGAATCCAAATGTCACAGAATAAATCCCCTTAATAAAAGAATTTGTTCTGTAAAACTTGGACTCAGGCAAAAACCCTAGGGCCTCAAGGCCATAGGTTCCCCATCCGCAGATTCTAAGAGGATCTAAGCATCCTTTTAACTTAAGATAGAGACTGGATTAGATGAACTCTTGTAATTCCTTCTAGGTCTTACTCTGGGTAAATCTATATCCCATAACTCCTGAATGGAAACTGTTTCAATAAAAGCACCATCCTTCAAGACCAAAGAACACTCAGTAAATGTATAAATGCTAGACCTCTGTAATGCAACACCTCTAGGGTAGAATGGAAAGCAATTTGGTTCTGATATAGACCTAGATAAGCAACAAAACTTTATTTCACAGAAAACTGTGCCTTCTCCTACATGCTCTTCTTTAACCTGAGCTTGTGGGGCTAAGCCGAAAGCCAGGAGGCAACAATTTAGAGAGGTTTAAATATGTCTTGTTCAGCTGTAATCTACATTCCACTAAATTCCAAGATACATGGGGAAAAAAAAATCAACATCTATCCAACTAGAGTAATTTGGACTCTTATAGATAATACTATTTTATTTTTAAATTAAGGAGTTTCCAGTAAGCATTTATTCCAAAGGAAGTCTTGGAAGTGTTGCAGACAGGAAATGAAACTTTTTTTTTATTTTTGTCTTTGGGTGTTGAGTTTGTTAAATGGCCCTTTTCCCAGAACATACTTAACAATGACTAAAATGTGTCCAACTTTCCACATAGTAACTAAATTATAAGTTGCTTTTCCATAAAAGGATAGGAGGAGGAAGTAGCTTTTTCCGGCTTTTATTTACTTTATGTTAGGACTTCTTGACTGGATGTGCCTCTTAGAGTGCCCGCCTGCTTCTTAAATCTGGCCAATTCCAACAAGCTTATAGTTGCCTCGAGCTTTTGGGACCAAGCCTACAGGTCATTGCTGGATTTTAGCTCTGAGCCCAGTCTCCAGGGGCCCAGAACACAGGGTTTTGGAAGGGTCTGTTATCCCCAGGGTCACATGACTTGACTAAAGATTTGTTGACATTGCAGAACAACCTGGATCCACCCAAGTATCCGATGCAGAAGGGCTCCCTGAGCCTTCTGAAGCAGAAATGGGAGTCCAACGATGGCCAGAAAAGTGAATGTAGTACTCCTGGCAGCCGCTGCAGGCGCTTCCAACCCAGAGAGGGCAAATTACCTGAGTCTGGAAATGCCACAGATATGTCAACTGGGCCTCCCATAGCTCCCAAACTCATCACAAATCTGGGGGAGCAAAAGAAGAACATGGAGTCAGTGAAGAGTGCAGAGTGCAAAATAGATACTGGATCAGATGGTGGCCAGACTGAAGTACTAAAAGAGGACACCAAAGGGACTCGCCGCAGGATTGAGCACTTCTCAATTGCCCTAGAGGAGCTTAGGAGTATATTTGAGACTCCAAGGGGTGGAGCTGGCCTGGCTGGGTGCAGCAAAAAGGTAAGAGAGTCCATTGTAATATGTAACCTGCAGGTAACCAACTAAACTGCCAATCACCCTGTAGCTTATTTGGGGTTGTGTGCTTATTGTCTTGATTCCCCAATATGCACCAGACAAATTTCCTGGAGCAACTCTCTAATGCATAAGTTTCAAACATGAGGCCTGTAGGCTTATTCAGTCCATAACACTCCTGAGTGTGGTGCAAAACAGATTAAAATGTAACTGGGAAATTAACAAAATAAATCAAAATATAATAAAATGTAGAAAACGCTACATTTTAAAACTAAGTCAATACATGGCCCACAGGGATCCTTATGAATGGATTAATGGCTTCCTTTTCTATTTGAGTTGGACATCCCTGGTCTAACATACTGATATATGGAATCTTGTGTTATTGATTAACCTCTTCCATACCCCATTTCAATAGTGGTTGAGACTCCTCTAACTCCCACAAAAAGCTTCTTGAAGTTAGGGGCTTCTTAGCATCACTAGCTCTTGTCACATGGCCCATCATACAATAGATTTGATTAATTGAAAGTACTTAGGAAATTCTTGATAAATGTTTGATGATATTGATGGTTGCAGTCTACTTAGACACTGGTGATACTATATATGTATATATGTGATAGTATATGTAGGTATCAATAGTATATTTAATACACAGGTATTATCTGGCTGATACAGATAGTATATATGTTTGTGTATTATCTGGCATTCATACTGATGCTTGGGACAACTTAAAATCATTAATTAGAATTCTGTTTAAACTGCTCTGGTCAATGAAAACTTTCTATTTGTGATCTCTTTAATGTAATGCAATCATTACTGCCTTTAGAAAGAGACACTTTAGAATGCTGCATGTAGACAATCTCAATGATCCCTTGCAATTCTTGATCTATGACCCAAGTATGTATGAATTTTCAGGCCTAAAGTAAGAGCCCCTTTCATGAAAACTCTCAGTGAACAGCAATGCTCAAGAACAAACAGCATCCTACTTAAACTAATAGATCATTATCTTTCACAACAGGAGTATTAAAATGATCCAAATTAACAAATTTTCTAGTACTTGCTCCCTGTCGACCAACTGGAACATATACAACTGGGACTTCTTAAAGACAATTTTTGTTACATCAACTGATTAGAATTAGAATAATAGGAAGACAAGAAATTAAATGGTATTGATAAAATTAATATAAATGCTGCTATTGAGTTTAGAATAGATGTTCTCCATTCCCTGTTCACTTTTGCAGATGCATTCTCTCTCTCTCTCTCTCTCTCTCTCTCTCTCTCTCTCTCTCTCTCTCTCTCTCTCTCTCTCTCTCTTTCTCTTCTCTCTCTCTCTCTCTCTCTCTCTCTCTCTCTCTCTCTCTCTCTCTCTCTTTCCCCTTCCATCCCTCCTTCACCCTCCTCCCCTCTCCCCTCCCTCCCTCCTTCTCTCTTTCTGTCTCTGTCTTTATCTGTCTCTGTCTTTCTGTCTCTCTCTCTGTCTCTGTCTCTGTCTCTCTCACATACACACACACACACACACACACACACACACACACACATTTTCTACCAATTTACCTAAGGATTTGGGGGGCTGGCTTGTTATAGTACTTTAGATTACATTCATTGTGATCTTTCCAGAAGGGAAATAGATAAGCTGAGGGAAAGGGGTATCACTTAATCTTTCTTGGTTTAAATAAGGCAGGAGGAATGGCAAAAACTCAGCAAAATAAACAAACAAACAAACACAAAACAAAAAAAGATTGAAATAAGAGGTATTTCAATACTAGACAAGCTTTCATGGCTGCAGTTTGGATACCTCAAAACAATAATAAGAGAACACCTTAATAGGGTTATGTTAGTCTGTGAAATGACTTCAAGCTATTTAAATGACTGTGATATTCGAACTCAGCACCTGTTAAAAGAAATGAGCAAAATTTTTATATACTTATCAGTACCACCATTTGACTTATAAGGTGACATTTTATTTTCAACATATCATACCTTTAATATATCCTTTATTCTGAAGTGGTTTGTCATGCTGAGTCAATGTTCTAAAAATATGAAACATGCAATTATGCATACAGCATTTTCTCCAATAGGATTGGGATTTAGAAACTGTTTTATAAAAAGTGAGAGTAAGGACAAGAGAATTAGGCTTGTTTACCAAACATGCTTTTGTAGAAAATCCATATGATCCCCACTTATTGAAAATGAACCAAAGGAGAATTATCTTGTTTTCTCCCTAAAGAAAACACTTTATATAATATTCAAATATTTAAGAAGGAGCTATGATTTCACTGATGTATTTGTCCTCTCCGATGACACAGAAAACAAGCTATCTGTGACTGCCTATCCTATCCTGTCTGAATCTTGTCCATATTCCACCTTTGAGTGGACCTTGAGGGTCCACTCAAAATTCCAGGGTCTTCATTGCTTTTGCTCAAAATTGGAAGGATGCTGATGGAGCACATGACTGCCTAACAGTTATGCTGCACTTCTACTACATGACTAGTCAATTCAACAAGCCTTTATTAAGCACCTATTACATGTCACAAGGTGTGCTAAGTGCTAGTGATACAAAGAAAGGCAAATGACAGTCCCTTCTTTCAAGGAACTCACAGTCTAATGGGGAGACAACTTGCAAATAACTGTGTACAAACAAGATACATTCAGGATAAGTGGAGATAATCTGAGGGGTAAGACCCTACCATGAAAGAGGATAGAGAAAGGATTCATGAAGAAAGTAGGATTTTAGTTTACGCATCTTTTATTATTATTATTATGAACTCTCTTACTCTCAAACTTTCTCTCTGTAAACTTATATATAATTTATATATAAACTTTATTTTTATATATTTATATTATATATAAACTTATAAATATATATTACAATATATTTTACATATTATATATGCAATATATACATATAATATGTATACATGTAATTATATACAGATATATATAATATGTATATATACAATATATATACAAATACATATAAATTTATATACATGAATTTAAATTATATATGTTTACAGAGAGAATGGGAGAGAGAATTTGAATGCTTCTTTTTTCCAAAGTTCAACTCTTACATAATTTCTGTGACAATTTATTTTCCTCACCCAATTTTGAGTATTCTCTCCCCAAATTGACTTGTGTATATTTTCTTTAACTAAGTAGATTGTAAGTGTCAAAGATCAGAAACCTCTTTTTTGCTTTTGTACCTTCAACAACTGCCACAGTGCTAAATTTTTCTGACTCAGAAAACATTCCAATGGGACAAAAATGCATTCTTTCACCTTTCTCTCCATCTTCATCACTTTCTCCTAAAGGTGCTAATAGGAAGAGTGAGCAGTGACTATGAATGATTTCCATAAGCCACATGAGAAATTAACTCATGAATTTTTTCAAGGGAGAACAAGAAATAATTTTTAAACAGGAAAATCCACAAATGTATAGTTCACAATAATAATAAAAGAATAAATACAGTATAGTATTACTAGAGAAAAAAACTTCCAGAAGGATTTGGAGCTTACTGAAAAGTTAAAATTCTGGGACAAAGATAGAGCCCATGTTTAAGAGAAAAAAAGAAGTCATGCTTTATGATATTGGGATATAGAGTTGGTTTGTGTGCTATAAATCCTCTCTTATAAACATTTTCTAGAATACATACAGGGAATATGAATCTTCATTTCTCATAAAGTATCCACTTTAAGATTCATTTATCACCAATATACTTTATAAAAGTCTTTTAAAATCCATCAAGGGAACTACATGTTGTTGTTGGGTTTTTTGTAGCATTTTCTTGATATGTGTGAACTCATTAAAGGGAGACTAGATCAGCTCCTCAATTGTTTTCATTGTACTCTAGAGCCTCTGTTAAAATAAGTCATCCTCATATAATTAGAAAGAAAAATTAATGAAGGACTCTTAAAATAATGATGCCTGCTTATGTTTTATAATTGTCGAAGAGGGACATTTCCTATTGTCTCCATTTTTAAAACTTAGGTTCTGAAAGGAGCTTAGAAAAGCTTTTTAAACTGTACTTTTTTTATGCTTATAACCCAGAGCATAATTCAAAGATAAAAATTCACATTGGCTTTATCACAAATAAATGGTGTGGAACAAGATTTTTTTTTTAGCAGTATTTAAAGTGCTTATAAGAATCAATTATGAGACCACAAATCTTTAAGACAATGAAACATCCATTTGTGTTGCTGAGAGGTAAACATTATTAAGCAAGACAGGTTTACCTAAATGTATGCAGAGATCAAGGCTGTATATAATAGAATGCCAATTATTAGAAATGTCACTTTTTTGGGGATGGGGACAAGTTAAAGCAAAAACTGAAATATAATCTATCCTGTTGCATTAGGGCCAGTGTCAATATTTATCTTATACTCCACTCAAACCTAACTAGTGCAGGGATTGGTGAATACTAAACAGTGTTGAATGAATTCTTGATTGTAATGTAGTTTTAAAGGGATCAGGGACCTCCTTGGAATCCACCAAAGTTCACACATCCACAAGTAGAATCTGTCCTTCTATATATTCTTTATTAATTGACAGTTGTTAACAAATCATAGGATATTTGATCTGAAATATGCTTTGTACAAAGGCTTTATTTAGCTAGTGCTTTGCTGGTATGAAAGATCAGCTTCTGTTGAAAGATAAATACTTGGATAGATTTGTGAGCTCACCTAGGTGGGAACTTTCTCTAGTTATTAGGCTTCAACCTATATTTTCCCATTTTAATAGGGTGAGTTCTATATTCTACAGGCTATCTACCTACTGTTTACACAGGGTGTCCTAAAAGTGTTAGTGTGGTTTTAAGCTTAAAATCTTAAACAACATAAAATGTACTAAGACTTTCAGGACAGTGTGTATGTGGGGGGGGGGGTGAGAGAGTGTGTGTGTGTGTATTTTCAACCTGTAGTCTATGAATGCAATCTGTAGCAAACTAGTATAGATATGGACACTGGCTCATTATTATTATTGTTATTATCATTATC